CAGAGAGTCAAATCACTTCTAATATGGTCATATCAATGCAATGTGATTAAAATTCAGACCCATAACCACCTCCTGGAAATTAGGAGCAGGATTGATCTTTTGATATTGAATCTCCTAGCTTTAAATTGGAAGAGTCTCTGAAATAGGAACAATGTTCCCATAAGATGTTCAATATGCAGAGAACACAACCAGGACTACACTAACCTTTGCTTTAGCTGATGCAGTTGAAGAAATCAGTGTAGACCTAAGAAAATAGGTATGTATGTATGTATGTATGTATATACATATGTATATATGTGTGTATGTATATGTATGTATGTACTTGTATTTCTTTCCAGAACTTCTGGTAGCAGTTTCCCCTCCTGTCTCTCTTTTAAATTTACTTCATTTGAAGATGATATCCTTCCTCAGTGGACAACAGAGGCTAAAGAGGCCATCAGAAAGCAAAGTAGTCCTGGAGCCTCTGCATCCACCTTGTATTTTGTTCGATTTTACAGAAGGTACAACTAAGATGCATTATTTGATCAGTTGGTAATGCTGCTTTCTAATCTTTTATGTTTCATAGCAAAAGCTTGCTTATTAAAAGGAATAGTACTATTGGGGGGGGAAAACAAATCACCAATGCAGAGCTCAACTATCAGAAATTAAGTGGCAGCCATTTGGCACCAGTGACCTGATATGTGAGCGAGATTCAGAAGAGACCTTCAGCAGAAAATGATGCAGAATGAGGCATGATAGATGTAGAAAGAACTCTCTTTGGTCCTTTTCTATGAAGCCCTCATTTCTCCTCTCTTTCCAGAGCTTCTAGGGGTGGGGGGTGGTGCTAGAGGCCCTCTTGTATACTCTGTACTTTTCCTTTTTTGCTCCCTCTTGGGATTTCATGCTTTTTGTGGCTGCAATAAAGACTTCCACAGGACACTCACAAATCTTGTCTTTGGTCCTAAAACCCTTCCCACAGTTTAGTACTGTATTTCCAAAGCTCTCTGGACATCTGTAGTCATCTGGAATTCAACACAGTCAGAGGCAAACTCACTATAATTAATGGATTGATGTTAGTTCATTTGTTCATTCATCCACTTAACAACACTGGACTAGAAACTGGGTACCAATGATAATAAAATATTTCTTGGTCTAAAGGGGCTCAAAGCCTCGTCCAAAATTGAGGAATCATGTTTTGTGAGTTAAAGAAAAAAAAAGAAACAAAAAACAAAAAGCATGCCAGGTGCTGGTGGTGCATGCCTATAATCCTAGTTACTCAAGAAGCTGAGATCTAGGGGGCTGGGAAGGTAGCTCAGCGGTAGAGTGCATGCCTTGCAAGCATGAGGCCCTGGGTTCGATTCCTCAGCACCACATAAACAGAAAAAGCCGGAAGTGGCGCTGTGGCTCTAGTGGTAGAGCGCTAGCCTTGAGCTGAAGAGCTGAGGGACAGCACCCAGGCCCAGAGTTCAGGCCCCATGACCGGCAAAAAAAAAAAAAAAGAAGAAGCTGAGATCTAAGGAATACGGCTCAAAGCCAGCCCAGGCAGGAATATCCTTGAGACTCTTATCTCAAATTAACCACCAGAAAACTGGAAGTGGCACAGTGGCTCAAGTGGTAGAGCACTCACCTTGAGTTGAAGCACTCAGGGATAGTGCCCAGGCCCAGAGTTCAAGCCACACACCTGACAAAACCAAACCAAACCAAAACCAAAAAAACACATATGAGCAACCTATTCCCAATGTTTACTGTTTCTAAGTCCAAGGCACATGAAGCCAAAGGAGATCAGAATGAGTACTTTAAGATCACTTGTCATTGGCAAAGCAAGGGTTTAAACTAGGGCTCCTGACTTGCCAATCTCTACCAAAGACATCATACTCTCCCACATCCAGTTCAGATCCAAAGAGATACAAGCACTCTACCCCTTACAGAATCAACTTCTCTTGAAACATTTTCCCCAAAATTTATTTGAGCACACCTTTTTGCAAAGAACTCTCATTACTATCTCTAAGATCTATTGTCTTCAGAAAAGTACAGTAGGAGACAGTGGGCTGTGGGCTAAATCTGGTAGTCAGACACACTTTGTTCTCCTTCTTAACCAAGAAAGCTCTTCTGCCCATAGTCATGTAACCTGCCATGAACCAATGAAGCCTTTTGTTGTTGCTGTTTTCATAGTTTTCCCAGCTGTAAACATTCTCTTCCTTTTCTGTTTAACTCAACTTTACCTTTCTTTCCAGTATCCTGTCTACTGGATACTCTAAATTCTCCTTGAATCTCTTGTCTGAGACTACTGTAGCATTCATTTACACACATCAGAATGCTAAGATCTCAAGGGCAAAAAGTACATTGTGTTAGCTGTGCACCAGTGGTTCCATACCTGTAATCCTAGTACTAAGGAGGATGAGGTCAAGAGGATCACAACTCAAAGCTAGCATAGGCAGAAAGGTCCACAAGTCTCCATCTCCAAAATAACCAGCAAAAAGCCAGGCTGATTCAAGGGTAAAGCACTAGCCAAGCAAGCAAGCCAAGCAAGTAAAAAGCCTTGAGTTCAAATCCCAGTAGCAGCAAAACAAAATAAACTCTGTTGAGAAGCTATAGAAAAGGTGGAATTTTTCCTATCCAATACCTTCAAGATTAGTTTACAAGGTAATATTGTATTGCATTCATGAGTAAGAACTAAGTTTTTATAAAATGATCAGGATCTTTAAATGGAAAGAGGAGTGGAAGGAGATCTAACTTTAACAATTCACCATGGGAATGTAAATTAATACAGCTGGTATGAAAAAATAATATGGAGGTTCCTCAGAAACTAGAAATAGAACTACCATATTATTTAGCTATACCACACCTGGGTATATACTTGAAGAAAATAAAGTTAACATACGTAAGAGATACCTGCATACTTATGCTTATTTCAGCATATTCATAATGACAAGCTATGGGAATTGTCCAAAGTGCCCATCAGTGAATGAATGAATAAAGAAAATATTGTCAATATACTTAATAGAGTATTATTTAGCCATAAAGGAGAGCAATTTGGGAAAGTGGGTATGACTCAAGCATGACATTTGCATGTATAGAAATGTCACAGTGAGGGCTGGGAAGGTGGCTCAGTGGTAGAGCGCTTGCCTTGCAAGCCTGAGGCCCTGGGTTCGATTCCTCAGCACCACATAAGCAAAAGGAAAAAAAAAGCCAGAAGTGGTGCTGAGGCTCGAGTGGTATAGTGCTAGCCTTGAGCTGAAGAGCTGAGGGACAGCACCCAGGCCCAGAGTTCAAGCCCCACTACCAGACCCCCCAAGAAAAAAAAAAAAGAAATGTCACAGTGAAACCCATTAATATACCTTAGCAATTAGAATTGGAAATTATGTCACCATATCTGACAGTAAGATTTGCTGTTTCGATCTGAATTACTGGTGAAAGATACTAGGGAAGTTTTCTGTCTTCATTTTCATTTTGCAAAAATTGTCAAGAACCAATTAACAAATGCAATTAAAAAAACAAAAACTGAACTGTGTATGGAAAAGACAGAAATCATTACCGACTCCATGAAGACCAGTTCTAATGTAAAATTAACTTCACAGATTCCTATTACAGTGGTATCTTTTTCTTATATAAAGTAAGCAAGTCAGTTTCACTTAGAAAAGTACCATTTCTGCTTATTACTACTTAAAGAAAATGTTTTTCTTTGTAATGGGAAAAAGATGCCTTGTGACAAAGAATGCTAAATTCAGCTTTTATCTGGGTTCACCAGCACACTGAAGGCCACGTTTTACAGTATGTGTGGGAATGGAAATGTAAGTTAGTATGGTCATCGTGGACATTGTTTCCATGTACATCTCCATGATGGAGTTTGGTTATGGGAAGATGCATGAGATGATCAGAATCTGAGGTAATTTTATCTTTCTACTTTGAACTTGGACATGGGCAAGACTTCTCTGTGGGTCTCCCATCCAACTCTCCCTGACCACCACATTTATGACCTTCACACCATCCACCTCCAGAAAGCAAGAGTAACAGGATGAGAAATCATTAGCCTGCCTCTCCACTACTGGCTGTGAAGAAGCTTGAATGGGGTGGACCTTGACATATCTGAGATTATCAGGACTAGTTCTTCCCTGCTTAGCACAGCTCAGCCACTGGAATGCTTTTTCCAGTAATTTCTTTCTGACTTTTTCCTGACCTTTTCCATATTCCTATACTTAACTTATTTTTCACTTTGGTCCTCACCCTGATTTAACCCATTATAACTGAGGATCCTTCTGCTTAGCTGAGCCCTGGACAATGTTTGGATTTGGCAGGAGGTTTGACCTCAACTCACATTTCCAACATTATTTCCTTGCTTGAGTATTCACTGCAGGCAAACTGATCTACTCCTGAAGCCTTGAGTGAACCATTCCAGGCACATCTACAATTTTGTTCTCTGAAAGTCTTGTCTGTCCTGCAAGACCAAGCTCAAGGCTCTTTGAGGAATCTTTCTCTCACTTCTTCACTTGTGATAATGGTTCCATCTTGAGCACTACTATATTTTTTAGTCTTCCCTAATGATTCACACAAAGGGACCCGCATAACATCAGATCCATAAGAGGTCTCTGAAGCGAAAGTACTTCAGAGGGTTACAGAATATACTAACATATTTAAGCCTTCCCAAAGTCTCACAGCAAACCTTCCAAATGGCAACCCTATGTATCTCAAAATTATTAGCATTAGACTCCTTCTTCATGTTCTAATTATATCTTGTGGGGCTGTTTAAGATAGTACATATCCAAGTGATACAAAATAGAAAGTTCATAGGAAGTATGGTAACTTGGTGACAGGTGACAGGTGACAGGAAGTGTGACCTGTAAGCATTCTATGCTCACTCCTAATCTTCATCTGACATCTCACATTGATGATGAAGCCCTTTGGATAGAGTCTCTGCTTTCTCAGAACTCACTATGTCAGTCCCAGAGGGAAGACTGTCACCAAAACAGCCCTCAATTCCCATTTGTGTTTACTGAGTGCCTTGATTTCATTTATGTACTCACCAGGGGCTCAATTGTGAAAATGTTATTCAGGAAGAGCATGCTATCTCCCTGAACCCGCCTCCTTTGATTCTCAAAGGTACGAGAGAGAATGGAAAGACGTTCTCGGAGTGAAGGATCAATAATGCACTCTTCAAGAAATGCATCAGTTTCACATTTTTCTTCTTTGTTCAGATCATCACAGACCCTAAAGAAAACATAGGAAATATGAGTTTCCTTTTGGTACTTCTATGAAGAATTTTGTACCATACCTCCTTCTGGAAATGTCCTTGGTCCTTTACCTGAGGGTGATCCCTCCAGGCCCCAAGTCTGTAACATACTAGCAGGGTGACCTTGTACTCACTACTCAAGCCCAAGGTCGCTCATCTTTAGTCACTTCCTTCCAGGAGTCCTCTTGGGATTCTTCCCCTTACAGAAGGCCCATTTGTTTATTCTTGACTCCTTATGTATCTAGACAAATATTTTCTTTTAGGTAATTGTGTTTCCCGGCTGCTTTTAAAATATTTAACATCTACCTTGCCTCTTATACTGCGAGGATGATTTTGTTCCAGTTAAACTTGCTTAGTTTTAATGCTTTCTTAGTTGTTAGCTATCTAGGGAATAGAGTTAGGGGTTCACAAGGACTAGGTTTAGATACTGATTTTTTTGTAATATATTTTTGTTGTGAAAATACTGTACAGAGGGGTTACAATTACATGAGTAAGATAATGAGCACATTTCGTATCAAGCATTGTAGCCTGCTTTGTTTCCCCTTCCCATCCCTTCATTAGATACTGATTTTTTATGATCTATTTATAGCTCTGCAATTTGGGGAGTTACCTAATTCTGGCTAAGCCCATATATCATAGAGATAGGAAGAGTAGAGCTCCTCCATCAAAGGAAAGAGGGTTAAATGAATCCAGGACCTGATTTAGTTCCTGAGAAAGAACAGGCATTCTTATCAATACTGGTTTTAGCCCTAGGTCAACCATAGGTAACTGCTAAACTGCTAAGCTACATCGTGCTTAAGCTACACCTCAAGCATGCCTCTTCTTCTCTACCTAGCTCTTGTTATCCACATGATCAATCTGAAAAGTAGCCTTTCCAACTCCCCCTCAACATCTCAGCTTCCACCTGAATTTTGTGGGCCAGATTGTACCTCCTCCAGGATATGTGACCCTATTCCAAGCTTCATACTGTTCTAACCAGTGGTGACAGGCATATTTAACATGTGAGGACTGAATAGGAATCTAAGGTCATTGAATTCTTGTCCCAGTCCCAACTCTTTCTAAATGACTTCATGTAAACCACAGGCTTTGTTTTAATAACTTTGGTATTCAGAGTCCTTTGGCTACACAGCATAAAAAGTCAAAGAAATGGATTCAGTGTGTCCTGCTTCCAAGGAAAAAAGCATTATGGGCTTCCTTCTGATTGCTGGGTAGGAAGCAGTGTCCAAGGTAACCAGTTGCAGACTTTCTATACTGCTGGCAGAGTGGGGCAAATTAAATCAGCTCAAAAGAAAAGAATCTAGTTCTTTTATTTTGTTATTTTACAGGTATCTAAAAGACATAAAATTATATACCCTTTAAAACAACAAATTTCACTTGCAGGAATAAATTCCACTTGCAGGAATAAAATTCTCAAGAAAGAATCATGGATATAAACAAAGACACAGCTATAATGCTGTATACTAAACTTTGGGGTTGATACCAAATAAAGTAGGTAAATTTGATGTAAGATATTGAAAAGTTGGTTAAATGAGAATCATAAATATTATAGCTACTGGGTACTTTCTGAACCCTTCCTATGTGTCATCATATAATTTAATGCTCACAACCACTATCCTAGATAATTACTATGATTGTCATTGGTCCACTTTACAGATGCTAAAACAGGGGTTCAGAAGGATTAGGATTCTTGTCTCAACTCACAGGTTACACTGAAAGAATAAGCCCGAAATTCAACATGGGTCTTTTATAGTTTTAATCCCTGAATGTTAATCAACCTGCTACAGTCTCTTATGATACATTTATACCAATGGAAAAATAAGTTGTTGTTAAAATAATATTAAATAAGACTACTTATTTGTGTGTGTGTGCTAGTAGTGGAGCTTGAATTCAGGGCCTGGGTGCTGTTCTTTAGCATTTTCACTCAAGGCTAGTGCTGTACTACTTGAGCTACACCTCTTCTTCCAGCTATTTCTTGGTTATTTGGAGATAAGAGCCTCATAGACTTCTCTGGCGGGGCTGGCTTTGAACCATGATCCCCAGATCTAAGCTTTCTGAGTAGTTAGGATTATGCATGAGCCACTAATGCCCAGGTTTACCAGTGTTTTCAAAGGCCAGAAATACTTTTAAAATGAAAAAGCAGATTACAAAATGTAAAGTGCAAAGTAATTCCAATTTGTAATAAAATTTTCTATTACAGATTAATAAAAGTTAATCTGAGATTGAGGCAGTGCAGATTTTTCCAGGTTAGCCTAACATGCAAGCACTTACATGAGCCAGTGTTTTGGCTGAAGAATCACAGAAAAAATGTGTGGGTCTACAACAGAGAATAGTCTGTAGGTGTCAGAGCAATGGATTAAATGCACACACAGCAACAAAAACCCATCTTAATACATGGAGTCTACTGAAAAGGAGACATCTGAATGCAAATAAGGCATCTATTTATTTTACTATCTCCCAGAGCAATGTCTATTTCACAAAACAGATTCACGTAACAATATACACATTAATGTATTACAATATTATCTTTTGGAAGAATTAATGGAATGTGGGATGCAAGAAAATAAATAAAATGCTTAGTGTGAAGGAAGGATGATAATATTACATGGATGGAGGAGTATAATTAACTCAATCTTCCTACCTAGAAACAAAACACAAAAGTTCACTGCTTTTGTCCAATACTGTTCTGACTCTAAGTCAATAAAAGCCATGGTAAAACTAGGAGAAAGTGAAGGAAGGAGTAATATGGTCCAAAAAGAAATGCACTCATTACCTGACTCAAATAAATGTAACAACTTCTGTACATCACCTCTGTAAAAACAATAAATAAAAAAGAAGTGTATTCGTTACCTGACTTATGAAATGGTAACCCCTCTGTACAAAGCCTTAATAATAACAATAAAATTATATTTTAAAAAAAGCTACAGTAAAGTGAGGGGAAGGTAATGGTGGATGGAACAGGAGGTATCTTTCTCTCTGATCTAATGAAGAACTGGAGCCATTGAAACTTCAGCCTTCAGCTAATTTGACTCTAATTTGGGCTGGCATATATCTAAGTCTATGACATCACCATCCGGTCGTGATGATAGCTATAACTCTTTCCCTCACAAAGTGGAAATAGCTCATCAGAAAGCATAAGAAAATAACCAACCTTGTCTTTCAGTATAACCATGAACATACCCATTTTTGCAAATGGTCTGATGGCCACACACACCATCATCTTTAGACATCAAGTATAGGCCAGTCCAGGTAGCCCAGGACAATGAGAACTGTTATGATGATTGTTACAAACCAATGACTAGCGGTTCTCTTCCTATTTATCATTTTCTACTTCAGTCTTTAGATTTTTGTATACCCTAGAGAAGGTAACAGGCTGCCAAACACAACGGAGATTGAATTTACTACAACTCAGGTGGTAGATTCAAAATCCAATTAAAACAGATGCAGCTACAGAAATGTGCCATGTCCTATCTGAATTCTGTAGAATAAATTCATGCTAACCACTGTGCGAGCTCCATTGAGGATTCAGGGAGATCTTGTACAGCACGTAGTTAGAATCAGAGCCACCTGCTTTTGAGACAATGGCTTTGACCCTGCTGGAGAAAAGAGCACAAATCCTTAAAAACTCAGGCCAAAATTCTGAATACAGTAAACGTGATGAGCATGAGTATGAAAAGTTCTTGCAGAGTGTTTAAAAAATCCCTTGGAAAGGTTGTGGCAGAAAGGATGAACACAGCTTCTTTCTGAAGAGATTAATTTTTTGCCAGTTCCAGAAAAACATCAAGAAATAGAACAAAAAGGTAATTTTTAAAGGTCCCTGTTTCTAATCCCAGATTTTTTAAAAGAATAAAAACAAAGTTAAAGTCCAGAACTTCTTCCTACCAAAGGAGACTTCTTCATTGCTGGAGGTAGGTGCCAGGAAATAGTCTATATTTCCAAACCTGACATATGTCCTTGGTTTCTACCAATGGAGAGGAAGGTCATCCTTCCTCAACTGGAAATGATAAACTGCCAGAAAGGAACAGAGCTTCCTGGGGCAGAAATTTCTCCATGAGGAGAATAGATACCCACTCCTTTGTTCATCAAGGTGCTGGTGGACAAGAAACAGGAGGGGAGGCATCTGTGAAAGCCTTGGACATTCTTGAACAAGTCTCAGAACCTGTGAATAAATGCCTCCCCTTTAAGGCACTATAACTGGAGAAGCTGAGGAAAGCCTCATGAGTCTCACCTGAGAGTCTGAACTTATTAAATCTTAGGTCCTTGGTGGGACGAAAAGGGAAATTCCAGTCTCAGACTATGCATCACACACTTAGAACATGCTCTTTCTTGGTTCCAAATACAGGAACAAGGCTCATCTTTCCTTCTACATTGGATGAGTGTGAGTGTGTGTGCATGTGCATGCACCCATACTAGGGCTTCAACTCTGGACCTACAAGATATTCCCTGTGTTTTTCACTCAAAGTTGGTGCTATACCACTATGGCTCCCCTTCCAGCTTTTTGGTGGTTAATTGGAAATGACAGTCTCACAGACTTCTTCTGCCTGGCTGGTTTCAAATCACAATCCTCAGATCTCATTCTTCTGAGTAGCTAGGATTATAGGCATAAACCACTGGCACCTAGCTTCTCTTCATTTTTAACTACAGAGCTGTTGAAGGGAAAGAAGAAAAGGAAGAAGCTGTTCCTTAGTAGGTGCAAGAGAGTCATCCAAAGGTCCTAGCCAAGAATAGCTGTGCTGGCCTTGCCAGGGGCCACTAGTGAGGATTTATCTCATTGGCTAAAGATCTTGCTGCTGCATTTTAGCTATGGGCAGACATCTGCCCCTAAGCATGCTGTCACAGAACATTCTGCTTCCTCTGCTACTAATGTGCTACCTAAGACACAACCTGACAATTTGTGACATGAAAGAAGAGGCCCACAGTCATTGTAAGAGCACCTCCCCTTGCAGAGGGACAGTTATACAGACAGGAACTCAGGGTTTAGTAAGGTATAAACTGCTTTGAAATAGCTTTGCCTTTCAAGAGACTGGGAATCTCGTGGCAGTTACACAAAGACAAGAATCCAGGGTAAATAAGATGAAAATTGATGCATGCTAGTAAAGTCTCAAAGAACAAGAGAGAGAGGAGAGCCAAGAGCCCACTGGTGGGCAAAAAAAGGATCAGGCATAAAAGATCTTCATGACTCCAGTTGTCCCTAGGCATCTGACACTCAGGAGACAGGAAGGAGGGAAAGAAGGGCATGGCATTCAACAACTTTTTACTTGGATAAACCAGTCTACTTCTGGGAAACATGAATTACATTGCCATATGTTACCCAAAGTGAAAGCAAAGAAAGGTATTCTCAGCAATCTAAAACAAGTTTTCAAGTTCATGGTTTAAAAGAAGGCCATGACCCTACACTTTCCATACAGGTTATAAAGATGTTATACTCTATTGTCCCCTTGTCACAAAAGGAATGTAAGAAATAGCACAGAAAGAGCAAGAGAGAAAAATCAAAAAAACACAAGAAAGAAGAATGAAAGACAATATTACAGCGTGGGTGTAAGGAAAAAATGAAGTGGAGGAAAAATGTCCAGCCACATTGGGTTGAAATTATTTTCTCTATGGTTTGACAGCTCTAATATGATTGCTTCTTATTTTTCATAAGTTTAACTGTGGAAATTAACTCCTTTAAATATTTCTTGGATATTGGCATGGCAACAGACACATATTACATACAGTTACAAAGACACATAGCTGAAATTAAAGCTGTATCTCCTCTTAGCATATACATCATTTCCACCATAAGGTTATGTGCACAGGACAGCATGATACTGAAAAAAACCTGTTCATGCTGCTGCTTAACTTTCTTGATTTGATACTCTCACTTGATGAGGCTGTTCTGATTGCCAGTTAGTACCCATCAGCTGTGGAATCAGGACAAACGAAGCAGTGGATGAGTGGTGTTTCCTCCTGATTTTTAAACCACTGACATTTCTAAACCATAAGGCTAAATGGAGTTTGGAGGCAGGAAAAGGTTTTTCTTCCCTCACTTTTTAAAGATGGCACAGTGGCGATGCTGTGATTAAAGTTCATTGTGTAAATGACAAAGCATCTGGCTCACTGTTCCCTGTCATTGTCATAGCTTCTTCTGATTCAATTAGGGACAGCGCACTGGGGGATTTCTGCCTGGTTTCCATGGACCGAAGGCTTTTATTTTTATCCTATCCTAACTTGGTTTTAAACAAAGCTTTGAAGCTTCCCAGGGCTAATCTTTAATGGAAATGGAGAGGCACATAGAAAAGGCTGAGATAAATTCCAATGAAAGCAGCAAAAAAAAGTATTCAGAGAGGGTGGAAGAAGATAAAAATGAAATAGTAGTTTAAAAGAAGAAAGGATGGGTGCAATAAAAAAGAAATATTCAAAATTTAACAGTGATGAGATTAGTTAAAAACCATCTGGTTTTACGTTATAATAATTTCTCCCATTGCCTGAAGTATCATTTTTTTTACAAAAAGTAGAATATTAAAGATACCAGTAAGAAATCATTATTAAATTATAGTTTGCAAAGATGGAGCGATGATACTAAAACTAATAATATAAAGTCATTATATCTAAGTCCTTCATTTTCCTCATCCTATTTCTTGGAAATAGCTTTTCACTGAAGTAAATTTATATTAGTGACACCCCAAAATAGGTTATTTTCAGAAACTCTTTATGAAAGCTAGTCAATTCGGTTGGGGTTACATATAGGTAGATTCATTTGGGAAAAACTATGAAGAGTGATATATTTGGTTTTTAAAAGTCTAGGAGGAGTTCCATTACTGTTAAATGATAACCAGGTTGAGATACACCCAGAATGGAAAACATTTCATTCCACATGGCTTACTCAGCTTAGATTCAAGCCCAAGGACTGGGGCTTGAACTTGGCCTACATGTCCCTGAACTTTTTCAGTCAAAGCTGGTGTATAACACTTGAATCATGGCTTCACTTTTAGCTTTTTGGTACTTAATTGGAGGAAAGAGTCTCACAGACTTCCTTGAACATGCTGGCTTTGAATCATGATCTTCAGATCTCAGCTTCCTGAGTATTTTAGGATTACAAGTGTGAGCCCTGGAAACTTGCCTTGATTCTTTAGATAAGCAGTTCCCAAAGGGAACTTAGAAACCTACTATAATAGTCACTGATTGGGCTGGGAAGATGGCTCAGTGGTAGAGTGCTTGCCTTGCATGCATGAGGTGCTGGGTTCCATTCCTTAGCACCACATAAGCAGAAAAAGCTGGAAGTGATGCTGTGGCTCAAGTAGTAGGGCACTAGCCTTGAGCTGAAGAGCTGAGGGACAGAGTCTAGGCCCAGAGTTCAGGCCCCATGACTGGTAAAAAAAAAAAGTGACTGATTTTTTCTTATATAACTGAGCTTCCTCATCCTCTGTTGCTTCATGTAAGGGGTTTTTGTTACAAACCTATGCTTTTCCCCATTCTCCTCTTCTTGGGTAGCAAATATCTTCCACTGGAAATGGGCAATGATGTTACTGCTGTTGTGAATTGTGATAGTCCGCTGACTGGCCAGAGTTATATAGGTTTTCTCCAAGATCAAAGAATTTTTGTCCAGCCGTATATTCATGTCTATGGCAGCTCCATAGAGACAGACAAATACAGTTTCACCTGGAAATTAACAAAGTACAAACACTTGACGTTTTATTCTACAGTGATACTCATAATCTATTTTTTTTCCAACCTGAAGTTAGGCATAATGAAAGCATTAGATATTTCATTGTCCCCATTATTCCATTAATCTGAAGATTATACATGAACAGAAAACTTACATACTGTGCTTAGTGGGGTTACAGAAAGACAAACTATCTTTCTTCATGATTATAAGAAATACATAAACATGAAGTGGTGATATGGGTCTTATGAGACATTTTCTTCTTCATAAGTGGTTTTCCATCTTATATCTCCTGACAAGGAGAGAATTCGAGTTCTAGAATTATAATCATATTCCTCACCTTCAGTCCATGCCTTTTAGGTTCCAAAATTATTGTACCACATCTACCTGGAAAGAACTGCTCAGCATGAGAGGACTGACATACAGTCAAGAACAGGAATCAGGAGAGAAGATTCAATAACTTCAAAAATAGAAAACTAAACCAAATCACACCCCAAAGAACAGTAATTAAAACCACACACACACACACACACACACACACACACACACACACATACACACACTATACCACACCATGCATCTATAACTGGGTAGAGATTAACACCCCCCAAATTGAAATAAAAAACTATATTTCAGCTACATGTTTAAAACATTAGGAAGCCTTTTTATTATTCAGCACAGCACTTGAGCCCTGACATGATTCAAGATTCACTAGTTACCTTGATTCTAGATATGAAAATGAAGTACATGGGCTTTTAAGAAGACACAAACTACAAACTACCTTCTATTTGACTCTGTGATATCACAGCAGACTATCACTTTAATATCAAAATAGATTTTAAAAACCCACTTAAATACTGTGAATACTTCTGGTGATCTATGCTACTGAAGTTTTCTTTTTTTCTCATACATTTTCATTCAATTTTTTTTTATTGTAAAGATGCTGTAGAGAGGGGTTATAGTTACTTAAGTAAGGCAATGAGTACATTTCTTGTCAAGCATTGTTACCCCCTCCCTTATTGGTTTCCCACTATCCCTTCCCTCCCCCACCTTCCTCATTCCTCCCCTCCCCCAAGTTGTAAAGTTCATTTCCAATATACTGTCTTGTGGGTATCATTGTTGCAATGGGTCATCCTGTGTCCTTGTTTCTGCATTTTGTTATTCCCCTTCCCCTCCCCCAATTAGACAAATGTATATATAAGATGCAGGACACCAAAATCAAGTACAGTGACAACAGAGGACATACCATAGGTGGAAGAACATACAAAGGAAATAAAAACATCACATAGATTTTCACTCGAATATAGAAAACATAGTCCCTTGCATTTTATCTTCTGGCAAATACATTTGTTTTTCATTGTATAAACTAGATAACCACTCAGCAAATTGATAACACTTTATACTATTTTATTTACTTATTTATTTATTGTGTTGGTCCTGGGTCTTGAATCATGGCTGGAGTGCTATCCCTGAACTTCTTTGCTCAAGGCTAGCACTCTACACTTGAGCCAAGCTCCACTTCCAGATGTGTGTGTGTGGGGGGGGGGGGGGGGGGGAGTGGTTAATTGGAGTCCAATAGACTTTAATGCTCTGGGCTGACTTCAAACTGTGATCTTCAGATCAAAGCCTCCTGAGTAGCTAGGATTACAGATGTAAGCCACTGGTGCCTGGCCATTTATACAATTTTTAATTCGTTGTAAAATTTTTAATTCTTTAAGTCCATCACTTTGGACACAGCCAAACTTATCTCAAAATTTAAAAAAGTAGGCATCAAGCTTTTGACTCTAAAATTTAAAAATTTAATAAAAATTAAACATTTTATTAAAAATTCATAAAGCCAAAAATTCAAATACCTCTAAAGCATAACATAAAAACAAAATGTCATTTTCCTCCTTACTCAATCCCAAATTTGCTGTTTAGAGGAAAGAAATGCCAATTTTTATTTTTTATTTTTTTTTGGTTCGGTCGTGGGGCCTGAACTCTGGGCCTGGGCGCTGTCCTTCAGCTCTTCAGCTCAAGGCTAGCACTCTAAGAAATGCCAATATTTTTGTGTATATCCTCTCCACAACTTTTTTTTTAAACTAGATGAGTAAAATTTGATAATCTCCTCAGTGAAAACTCACTGTTGTGAGCTGGGCGGGCGCTGGTGGCTCACGCCTGTAATCCTAGATCTGAGGATCGTGGTTCAAAGCCAGCCCGGGCAGGAGAGACCGTGAGACTCCTATCTCCAATAAACCACCAGAAAACTGGAAGTGGCGCTGTAGCTCAAGTGGTAGAGTGCTAGCCTTGAGCTGAAGAGCTGAGGGACAGCGCCCAGGCCCAGAGTTCAAGCCCCACAACCGACCAAAAAAAAAAAAGAAAACTCACTGTTGTATTTTGCATATCTTTTGGTGGTGTTGGGAATTGAGCCCATAACCTTGGGCATGCTACACAAGTAAGTATTCTACCACTGTGCTATATCCTTAGGCTATACATTGACAATAATGTTTTGATGATCTATTGAAAAGGAGGTAGAAATAAAGAATTTGTTGATAGAAGTATAAAATTGTTACCAGTAGCGGAAAAAGTCAGAGAATGTGATGTTAGGAAAACGAACCCTCAAATATGTATTTTAATGTTTTTGTTTCTTTCATGCATGTGTTTCTAATGCATTTATAAGATTATTTCTTTGTTGCTTTGTATGTCCCTCCCCCACAGTGTAACCCCCGCTTTTACTATATTTGATGTCAGTATAACATGTGGAGGAGACGGGGACAAACAAGTCGTTTAAGGATTCAGGTGGACCTGTTGCAACAATGAGAAGTACAAAATGTCATGTCAAAACCAGCTTTACAATGTCGGTGGGGGGGGGGAGGGGGGTATGATTGGGTGGGGGGAAGGGGGAGGCTGGGAAGGGAGGTGAAGGGTAAACAAAGGAGGAGGCTGGAATGCTTGGTAAGAAATGTATGTATTATGCTGCCCATGTAATTGTAATCCCTCTGTACAGTATGTTCTCAAATAAAATAAAATTAAATTAAAAAAATAAAATAAAATAAAATAAAATTGTTACCAGTGATTTATACTTGTAGACAGTCTTGGATTAGGTGCCTAATTCAAGTGGTATAGAACCTTCCTACCAAGCACAAAAACTTGAGTTCAAATCTCAGTACTGCCAAAAACAAAACAAAATCTCACACTCACATGCAGAAAAACCTTGTATAAAGATGCCTGATGCACTAGTTTATGATAAAAGCAATAAAATAGGAGCAGCCTAAACTCATTAGGAGAACAGATAAATTTATACTATTTTCACATACTGGAATATGTTATTTAAGTTAAAATTAATAAAAACAACCTGTGCTTACATGTTTAAATCTTTAAAATATAACATTGAATAAAAAACAAGTTGGAGAAGGATACATATAATATACTTATGTAAACTTTAAAATGACTTGATTGAGGGTAAGTAAATTTATAGAGACTACATTAAAAAATGTACCCAGTACAGTTCTTCTAAAAACTAAAATATGGGGGGCTAAGAAGGTGGCTCAGTGGTAAGGTGCTTGCCTTGCATGCATGAGGCCCTGGGTTCAATTGATCAGCACCACATAAGCAGAAAAAGCCGGAAGTGGCGCTGTGGCTCAAGTGCTAGAGTGCTAGCCTTAAGCTGAAGAGAGAGGGACAGTGCCCAGGCCCAGACAAGCAAAACAAAACAAAACAAAACAAAGATATGGGAATTACATCAGAAAAGATCAATAAGGTATCCTTAAACAGATCATCAGTTTAATTACCCAAAACATAAAAATGTATATGGAAATTTTTGAGATGAGCTAAATGTAACAAACATTAATTTTTATTATTTTCTGTACTTTTGTGACTATTTGAAATTGTTCGTTGTTTTACAATTTAATCAAGAGACAAAAGACTCAAAAGTTTGTTTATATCTAGGGATCAGAGGGAATAATGTCATTAATTTGAGTTGCTCACAGCAACAGTGCTCCTTCCCAAAAATATAGCAAGATATATTATTTTTGAAAACCATCTAATATTACTGTTTGTAATCTTCCTTAATCATCAGATCCATAAAGACAAGAATGCAGTAACTCTTCTGTTGTCACCTAACTGTTTGAAGTACTTTGCTTTTCACAATCACTTAAAGACAACCTTAAAAAGGGTCCCCTCCATCCTAGAGGACATCAGATGGAGGCAGAGGCAAATCTCTAGGGATGGAGAGGGCTGATATGGCTCTGCCCTGGCACCATTTGTGCCCTTGGAGTGCCTGTTCCCACACTGGTTTAATTTCTGCCACCATTCACTACAAATGGAGTTAGCTACAATCATTTATTATGTCTCAGGAGAAAGATATATGGTGTAGAAGGTTCATAACTTCTTGTCAGTTTTTTTGGTATTATCAATCAAGCAAAACAAATGGAAACAAAACTAACTTCACAGAAGTGAAGTTAGCTATATACACAGCATATTTCAGACAACAAAAGGAACCACTCAAAATACATGAGTAGAACCATAGATTCTTTAGTTAATGGAAAGAGTATTTCTCTCATTTCTTGGTTATAGCCAGGTTAAACTCACCTCCATTGTATACTACTGGAATCCAGCTTCCTTAGAAGGCCTCTTCTTTTACTGGGAAAATGGAATTGAGGCAATATGACTGAGCTCACCTGCACATTAGTGGTAAAGGCAAAGTAGCTATTCTTAACCTGCACCAGAAGCTATGAAGATCTGTAGAAAATGTAGCCTTAAAGGGTTACCAAAGACTTGGGTCTGAGTTCTAGCTTTACTTAGACATGCTCATTAATCAGCTCTTGGGCTCAGAATACTCATCTCAAAAAGAAAAGAGTTAAAAAGAAATGTCCTCAGTGGAGGTATAAATGGATGGTATAGCTGCTTGACAAGCATAAGCAAGACCCTGTGTTCCATCCCATCATCTTCCAGCATCCCTTTGAATACCAGCACCAAATGTTCTCAAAGTTTTCCCTTGTTAGGTAATTAATAGAAA